CTGTAATTGCATTTTTTTTGTTTTTCTTTGTTTTTGAGCATTTATGTATGGTCTGCCCTCCCACCTCCCCCGTGCCCCCAGTCCTTGTGCCCTTCTGCAGTTTGTTGTCGTTGCCTCCTTGTCTTTTGCCTTATTGTGCTTCCTTTCCCCGTCTTGTGGGTGTCTATTTGATCGTGTGTGTTCCAGTTCGCCTGCAAAGTGCAGTGGGAGCATAGATGGTCGTGTAGTCCGGCATAGTCATTCCCAACCTTACCGTATAGGGTCCGTCTGCACCACGCCTACAAGTTTTTGTTCATGAGCTTGCTCGTGTAGTCCGGCATAGTCATTCCCCACCTCCGAGTACTGGATGCGTCTGCACCACACCTACAAGTTTTCATTCTTAAGGTACGCAAATATATTATTTCGGATCTTGATTATGATGCGGTTTCCGTATCATACCGTAATCATGTCTTATTATGCGGGTTACACACTTGACACACACACGCGGACACATACACACTCTCTCTCTCATAGTTCCGACACCACAAACAACGAAAGCAACAGACACGAAAAACAAACTCACCGTCAGTCATCAAGGTGCGGTCCTTCGAAAGCCTTGACGCCGCACAGCTCAAGCCTCAGCGTCCAACATTCAGGATGGAGAGATGATGTCCTGGGTGAGTAGGTCTTTGTGTGTGTGTGTGTGTGTGTGTGTGTGGGTGTGGGTGTGTGGGTGTGGGTGTGTGTTCTGTGTGTGTGAGTCTGTGTATGTGTGAGTGTTGTTATGTTGACTATACAGAACTCACAAAATGACTCAGCCAGACTGTTTCGTCGGACTTCCACCGACTCGTCAGGAGGTTGAGCCCCGACACTCTGCCGAAGATGACCTGTACTGGCCCTGGCGACGCATCAACTTCTAAGAAAAAAACGATCAGGAGACGAGCGGGACCATCGCGCAGCTAAAAATCGGAGGGCCTCACAGGCAGGAATTTATCGATAGTTATATATGTAGTGATTCAGTCGAAATCGTTGCCGTTTGCTGGAACAACTACACGCTTATTCGTACTTGGTTTTTGAGTGCTTGCTCCGAACCAGTGAAAATTGTATAAGCAATGTTCGATCAGCAGGAAACCACAAAAAAGTACCGCCGCTCGCCCTACCCAGCGACCGCCGTTCATTTTTGCTTGGTGCTGGTTTGGATACTGTTACGGCTGGCAAGATGGCCAGCAGTTCTGCTGGTACCCGCAGCTGAGCTAGGAAAGTATGGGATTGCAACAACTGTGTCCTGCGATCTCCAAATCAGGCTGCCCTTGCACTTCGCTTTTTCATATGCCTGCGGAATGACTACTTCACTCTGTCCCCTCCCCCCCAGCAGGAAACCACAAAAAAGTACCGCCGCTCGCCCTACCCAGCGACCGCCGTTCATTTTTGCTTGGTGCTGGTTTGGATACTGTTACGGCTGGCAAGATGGCCAGCAGTTCTGCTGGTACCCGCAGCTGAGCTAGGAAAGTATGGGATTGCAACAACTGTGTCCTGCGATCTCCAAATCAGGCTGCCCTTGCACTTCGCTTTTTCATATGCCTGCGGAATGACTACTTCACTCTGTCCCCTCCCCCCCCCCCCCCCCCCCCCCCCCCCCCCCCAACCACATCTCCAACCTTTAACCAGTGTTCCTGTTTCTTTTTTATTTTCTTTTTAACAGGAAAAAGACACTGTGACATGCGGGTTGGTGCCCATCGTCGCAGTGAACGTGAGAACAGGACAGCAGAGCACCAAAAGAACAGAGACTGCGATGCCACTGGACTATGGCGTACATAGACATTGTGCCCGGACATGGTGAACTCCTGATGTGATTGAGACAGAGAAGTGCGAACATGGTGACCTCCTGCAATGCCACTGGACTATGGCGTACATAGACATCGTGTACGGTAACATTCATTCTTTTCGGACAGCACCGACCTTTTGTGACGGGTGATGTACGTACAATGGACATTGTGTGCGGTGACAAGGGGCACTCGCAACCTTCGTCATCAAACACAGATTTGCCTTTGAGAGGGAAAGGTCGAACAAATTTTCAAAAAACAAAAACAAAAACTCTCCACGAGGTGCAACACAGGACTACAATCACATAATAATAACGTTACGTCAAAAGACCCTACACGGGTTTATGCTGGCACAAAAGGACATAATACTACTGACAGGTTTTCCACTAGGGACCACCCTGAGGCAACTTCTCTCCACTCCACCAGAATTCTGACAAAATACATGTATTACGTGCATGCCGGGGGGACCCCAAAGTAAGGGACCCCAAAGCATGACCAGAGCAGTATTTTGAAACACACATACCAGACACAAAAGCTTTATTTCTGAGTATTACCAAATAGATAATGTACAAACCCCCCCTTCCAGGTCCAAGCAAAAAGACAAAAAGACAAAAAAAAAAGAAAAAAAAAAAAAAAAAAAGAAAAGAACCTTGCAGGGCCAAGAAAGAAGACATAAAAAAAGGCAAAGGACAGCTCCTGCCCTTTCACTCAACAGGTGAAGCAAGCCTGTGTAGAAAGAGAGAGTTCAATCTTTAAGTTCATGATGAAGTCAAGAATCCAGCAAAAACTGGCAACGGAAAAGAAAACAAAACAAAACAAAAAAACTTTAAAAATGTTAAAAGAAAACGAAGGGGCAGACAACTAACAAGTGAAAAAAACGAAGAACTCTACTACTCTCTACCTGACCAAGAGCTCGAAGAAACAGACGGAAAGGGAGTTTGATACAGGAGATGCTTCTCTTTCTTACCCAAACCTGTCCGTCCAGTCACACACAGCCCAGACGTGGAAGTCCACGTTTTCATGGACGTGTTCGCAGACCCCAAAGTGGTACGATAACTCGCAACGGCATCTCCATAAAAACTCCCTAACTCGTCTCTCCTCAAACACACGCTACGTCTGACGGTTTATTGAAACAATTGTACACATGCACAACGAACACAAACAAACACACAACCAACTCAAAAGCAAAGCAAAATGTCCCAAAACAAAAGTTCTCAATTGGCCTGCATGAGCAGCGGACACCCATCTGCCAACACAGAAAAGACCACAGAGAGAATTGAAACAAGAGACTGGAAGCTTGTGCTTTTAGCATGTTTTCCTACTCTGAACGTTGGAACCTTAACCCTACAGGAGCAGTGGAGAGACCCATCCAGCAGTTCATAAAAAGACCCACAGAGAGGCAGGCTCCCCTATCTACTCTGAACGACGAGCACTCGGCCCAGAGCAACGACACGACGATGGCGGCGAGATTAGACTCGCTAACTCTCGTACTACATACACCTTACAACTGCTGCATATGTTCACCCCACCGCTACGGCGCATCTGTGTGTGTGGGTGACTATACCAACCTGCCACCCAAGCTGTCAAAGCAGCTTGGGCCCTGCGTACAGACTGCGACAGTTCCACCCGCATCCCTGTGTGTCTGTCGGCATGCCAGCATGCCGACGTAACCCTCGAACATAGCAAACAACTGACCTAAGCTTGGCTGTACCCGTACTACGTAAACGTTTGCAATACCAGCAGGCTGTCCATCACACTCCTTCCAACCACCAAGATCACAAACCTTGGCGGCCTACAGTCAACTACAACCCACAAATCTGTGTTTGGGCTGCGCACAGCCCACAACAGTTCGCCTCCCATGTGCACGCTTGCATGCTGTCGTACGACTCATGTGGCAAGCGCCTGACCTTAGCCTGACTATGTCCAAATAGAACTGTTTGCATCACAAGTGCACACTGTTCATCTAATAACTCCTTCCCACCCAAAATCAGAACCCCTGGTTGCTTACAGACAACTGCAACCCACAAAGCTGGCAAACCAGCTTTGAGCTTTGGGCTGTGCACAGACCCAACAGTTTGCCTCCTGCGCATCCGGTGGCATGTGGGCGTGAGACTCGAACACAACAAGCAACCGACATGAGCCTGGCTGTCTCCAAATACATCTGTTTGCAAGACCAGTGTGCTGTCCACCTACCTCGTTCAAATCCAAGATCAGAACCCCTGGCGCCCTACAAATGACTCCCAACCCGCAAAGCTGCTGAAGCAGTTTTGGCACTGTGCACCGCCCGCATGCTGACAAAAGACTCTACACGGACAGCAGATCTTGGTCCGCTCTGTCCAAATATGACCATCTCGAATCGGCGCGTGCCATCCGGCCAACTGGATGCACAGGTATGATAACAGGGTGAGCTTATTACCATAGGTTGCCTCATTTCTCATTGTGAAGACCACCCAGCTGCCAAGAGTGCCACCCATGTGCCAGTAGAAAGGCATACCGCAAGATGTGGAAAAGCTGTAGTCGATGAAATGCATGAACACTGTTGATGAGATTGCAGACTGCTGAGCTGCCAGTGATCGAGCTGCTGGGTAGTGTCCAACACAGGCGAGCAGTAGGCGAGTAGTAGGATGTCACACTCAGGGGCTGCACGCCGATCAGTAAAGATCTGCACACCCAGGAGAGAGGAAACTAAGGAAGGCGTTCTTCCCATTGGCATACCTGAATGCAGGGCACACCCACTCCACATAATAACCCCGCGTTCACAGAATCCAGACCGTGACGAATCACAATGGGATCACAACTCCCCCAAATCGCGTTCACCGCAATAAAACAGTGAGTGTGTGCTGCAAATGTTTGGGAGGGGCACAAAAAGAAGTCCCTCCTGAGTTCCTCTACCCTGGCTCGTTTTCCACAATCATGATATACGTTGCATAAGCTGTCAGCTGCAGTCATAGTCGATGCACCCTCATGGCCGCTTGGACACATCCACAGAGTGTCGACATGACAGACATAATCTTCTCGTGTTCCACTTGTCGCACAGAGCGTTATTACTTCCTGCCTACCCTCACCTCCGCCAAGACATGCTGATTCATAATCACTGTGAAAAACAACTCCAAGTCAAGGGTTCAATTGGTCTCCGAATCCGTTTCACCGCTTAGAAGAGGGAGTGAAGGTGCTAAGAAAACTTCTTATTGCGCACTCGGTCATTTTGAATGTCGACAAATGGACACGACTCTCTTGGAAACGGGAACATGTACACTCCGTGTGAGGGCGGTACATGAAAATCGCATTCGGGTATATAGATAGAAGCAGCAAGACTCAAGCGAGGGCCCTGCATGCCATTGCCACGACAGCAGAGCATACCTCACCACTAGCACCAGTACTTCAAACCAGTTCTGACAAGTGCTGCATCGGGTCCTCTGCCATACAGCCGTTAGATGCACGGTGCCTCCTTCAGTGGTGCTGCTTCAAATCAACTTAGGATATAGACCATCTCTGTTGACTTAGGGTCCCTTTCGAGGAAGAGTCAGGAGGCGACCAAGCTGCGGCTTCTCTACACGACAGTACTGGTTAGGAATTGCAGGAGAAATGCGAGAGCGAACCGAGGAGAGGGCGCTGTGCCGGCTTCGGCAAATTAAACACAGAGACTAAACTACACGCCCGGAGCCTAAGCATAATGCCCGCAAGCTTTTGCTTGTCTACCAGACCAGCACCTATGCAGTACTTGTGAGGAACTGCAGGATATCCAAGGAGAAGATGCCGAGCCGGCTTCCGCAGACAACAACTTGAACTCCTTCGTAAACCGAATTGATCGTCGCCGTAGTCTAATGACTTCGAGACCAGTACCACAGTCTCGAAGGGGATGCCAGCCTGCTGGCAAAATGGATTGCAGTGGTGGATGGACTGCACTCTCTACTTGCCGTTCTGTGCAGCGCCCTAGTGGCGAAAATGGTTAATGGCGACCTACACGTCAATTTTGTTTACATTACAAAAGCTGATGTGGAAAGATCAGACACTATCTCGTGTGCCTTCTTCATTCACCCATCAGCCCTTGTGATAAAATTTCTGCTCTGCCACAATGCCTTCACGGATGGACAGAGCGGACTGCTTGCTACTTAGCATTTTATTTCTCTTTCTTTTTAGCACACGCACCCTTGTGAACAAAACTGCGGCCATCGGAAGCTGTGCGAACTGCCGAGCTGCGCAGCCAGATCATCGGCTGCATCAGCAACTGCAAAAACTGCACCGGCATCAATCTTCCAGATCCTCAATCGCACCCATGTTTCGAAAACAAAACCTAAGACACTGCACCCCTTCCAGATCGAGTTCATCACACAACGAATCCGTGCGAAAAGAAAAGGGGCCTCTCTACACCAGGTCCACTTTTTATGCTACACCACCACCAAAGAGACAAACACATGCCTAGTATTTGCGCACAGCATTCTACGCTGATGCCAAAACTCGTGAAGTAACAGCCTAACCCTAAAGAGGCAAAATGCACAGGTCACCAACCTAGCCCGATTCATACTCCAAATGTTAGCGCTGCCCAAAAAGCCTCTGATGGTGGAAAGACAAAGCTCAGGTTGCCATACCACAGGCAGTTCGATGATGGATGGACAAAATTCTCATCTCCACAATCTCCTTCAAACTCAAAGCCAAAACACGCCAGCAGAGTTCAGCTCATAAACACTGCTACTTGCTGTCTGTCATTCATTGCTGCTTCATCAACAAAACAACAGCATATCCTGGTGGCGTGTCCTGCAAAGCCTTTTTACAGGCACTTAACAGCATTCCAGCCAGCGATTATCTCCAAAACGAACTATGGACACATATGCCTTGAGGAATGGCATATTCTACGCTGCTCTCTTCTCTCCTCGTCTCTCGGCGCAGCACACAAACACGGCCGCGTACTTCAAGAGTAGCAGACCTGGTTTATCAAGTGAATCCGGTACCACCTCTATGGCAACCAAGTCTCCAATCACAAAACTACCTCCCTTTGCTATTAGTCTCACAAGACTACACACAATCGCTAAAAACAGCTATCTCGAGAGACACAAGAGGTGAAATCCCACACACCAAGTTCCATCAAATCACCGTATCATCATCGCCAAGGGGCTGGAGACCCGGGGAGAAGTGCCTGGGGTCGTGGAAGCTCTTGGGAAGCTTTTTGGAAGCGAGGATGATAACGAACCTGGCTGTCCAAGCTGAGCATATTCATCTACTTTATCTGCCTTGGCAGGATCCTTCGGTGCCCACTCCTTGACTCTCTTTGATGCACCACCACCTCCTCCTTCCCTTGCGCGACTATGCCTCGATCCACTTTCACGGCCTGACCCGGCACCCTCACTCAACCTGTCTGCAAAACTCCCAACTTGCTCTCCCGATTGCAGTGCACCTGACTGGCCGTCACCTTCCGCCTTGGGAATCCTGCCTTTGGCACGATGGAAGTCCTCAAGAGTCCGGAACTTCTCTTCCAAGACCGCCTTTAATTCACTCATTTTCTGGATGTCTCGTGTGCGCTTGTCTTTTCGGTAATGATGGAATGCCCTGCACCCCCAAAGTTAAAGAAGCAATGTACACATGGATCACTTCTCTAAAAGCAATGCGCATTCATTTAGGGCACAGAAAGCAAGCACACATGGAAAGCATGCACCTGGTCATAATAAAGGTCGATCACGTGCTTTGTTAGCATGAACATCGCTCTGGGGAGCGGTCTACCCCTCATCCTTCTCCTTCTGCAGTACATTCCAAAGTCGACTGACGTTTCAAAAAAAAAAAAAAAAAAAAAAATGGCTGACGTGGCAGACTGGCCACTGATTCCCCTGAAGCAATGGACGTGCATGATCACACAGTAGAGCTGGATGTGGATGGATGGGATGTCTTTAATGACTCTCTATTCCTTTTTTCTGCAATCCATTTCTAGTCTCGATTTATGCATGTCATCCTTGCGCACGGGCCATACTAATCTTCTCTGTTCAGTTCCAATTTATGATGTTACTCCATCGATGAGATTAGTATTTCATTCCGTCCTTGCCACGGACACAAGAGAGCACTGCACACCTACTGAGATCAATCGCCATCCTGCAGCCCAGAGCAAAAGACGAGACTGTTCCCGAGCATGAAATGTTCTCTCCGTGCGCTGCAAGGCGGCAGATGGAATGTTTAAACCACCAGTATGTTTCCCGTCCCTTTTATCGAAGTTGCGGCTTGCATGCTTCCGCAACTTTCGGGCCTCAGCAGCCGGAGTAGAATGGCTGGCGGCACCGCCCAGAGCAAGGCTCGCACCAATTCGTTTCTTTTTTGAGCGCGGGGCATTTGGAGCCCCGGGCAGAAGTGCCTCGGAGGTACTGGCGGTTCAAGGGTGCCACGGCAACACAGCTGACATAGGGACGTGCCAGAGACAACAGGGAATGGGACCCCAGGGTGATCCGCAGCCCCATAGACCGATGTGGCACTTTCACCCCGTTCAAAGAATGCAAGCCAGTAAAAAACGCAAATTTGTTTGATGAAACTGAAATATGTGCGTGGATTGCACACAGTGATGGAGTTGGCAAAGGAGCAAACACACAGTGAATGCATCGCGAAAAGTTGGGAGAATGCTGTTTTGTGAGAATCGTGCACGAAAGGGTGAAAGGGGCCAGATCTCTCTTCTCCCTATCCAAAGTTGGTTGGTTCCATGAAGACCTTTGTTTCACTATATCGCCGAATTGGCGACTCCAGCCTTGTGGCAATACAACGTCACCTGGTTTCGCTGCCCTGGTTTCCAGTTGTTCTTTTGCCTGCTTCCGTGTGCGCTAGTCCATGGAGCTTCTAGAGGATGCACAGAGACTACCATCTTCACCCGAATAGAACGCCCGTTCATTATAGCCGTATCTGATACAATTTCGAGACCAGGTACAGCTATAATGACCGGGCGTTCTATTTGGGTGAAGATGGTAGAAGCCATGTACTCAGTGCGCGTCTCTATATGGGGTATTATAGGACCATGGGACAGGCACAAAGGGTCGGAAGTTGGGTGAGGGAGGATGAGGCAAAAGGGCATGTGGAATAAGTGTTGACAAAGTTAGATAAACATATTCTTTTTCTGATAACAAATTCTCGGCGATACAATGGAGCAGGGAATTGCCGTTGACACTCTCAGTGGCGTGCGGAGGAGGGATGGTTATAAATTATACCATACGCTCTACTGGGATGAAGACAACAGTCCAATGAGCCAGCTAAAAGTGATCAGTGACCTTACCAGTATTTCTCAAGCCCGTACAGATTTCCCTTCTGATAAGTCTCCCAGGTCGTCTTCTCGAAGTCCTCATACAGATCCTGCCGAAACTTTTGCTCAAGCCCATAACTGCTCAAGAACAGGAAAAGGAGGGGGGGGGAACAATCACAGAGGTGTATCCGAGGCCACAACCCTTCAGAAGTGCAACGTAAAGAACTCCGTATTTATTATTTCGCCCAATTTAGAATGATAATCAGGCTGCACACTATATATATATCATCAAATATATATATATTAATGAGGAGGAGGAGAAGAAAAGAAGATGCATCAAACCGGTTTTTACCGAAAGAACAGCCTGCCTGCTAAGAAAACAAACACCACATAGCAATGCAGTCAGCCCGCCAGTCAGCATACCCACTCACGGACCCGAAAAGGTCCAACTATCAGAAGCTTGATTGTGAGCGCGTTCGGGAATATGCTAACAAAGCCTGAGGAAATGAGAGACATTCACATAGGCCTAAACCAACAAGGCTAAAAGCAGACCAGACATTATATCATACTTCAGGAAACCCACCTTTGTGACTTACAGGGTCACAAATGGTATAATCATGGACAGGTTGGAATCGGGCGTGGGAGGTAGGTCATTCAGGTTATGGGCAAACAAGGTACTGCTATCCTAGTTCCCAAGCAGTCCGAGACAACAAGCGAAAGCACAATGTTGGGTAGTCAGGGCGATACAGTAGACTGGAGATGTGGTTGAATTGACATCAAATGGCTTCAGGAAGATCTTCAAGTCTTGAATGTATACGCTCCTGACACAGAATCCAAAAGACTTTTATTCCAGAACCGTGGCAACCATGGTTTCAGACCAAAGGGGATCCCAACTCGGCTCACATAAAAGGGGTCAAAACAGAGGAGTGGTGGCTAGCTGAGGGGACACGCCCTCAATGGGAATCCCAACTCAGCTCACATACATGGCAGGAAACGAGGCCCTACTGTACGTTGGAATACTGGTCAGCAAGGAAGGAGCCTGGCCAGGCATGGGCCAGCATCTAGTAGCTAACAAATCTCACAGCTAGCCCCCTGCAAAAGTGCACACGCGAGGCCCCCTCCCGCAACCGGAACCGGACAGGTCCTACCGGCCGGTCGACCGGGCCGGTTGCCGTAGCGCATCAATGTTTTTTTTTTGTTTTGTTTTAAACGGTTGTCTGCTTGCCAGAAGGAACGATTAGACCACCAACTTCCTAAGGAAGAAATTTGGACAGCCCTGTCTCAAATGGATGACGAAAAGGCTCCTGGCCTTGATGGATTCCCCAAGGAGTTCTAAGAAACATTTTGGGACTGTATGGCTCCGGATCTTATGGAGTATTGTCATCACGTGTGGGACGCGGACAGCATGGGGGAAGTGGTTGGCCAGGGGGCCCTCACTTTGTTGCATAAAAGGGGGATAAGATGGATATCAGAATTTCTCATGCCATAGCCCTACTTACAGTTGTGTACAAAATGCTTGCAAAATCCTTGACCAACCGTTTGTGATTCAGGTTCTAGCCGGCTTGATCCATCCTGCGCAAACTGGGTTTATGAAGGGGTGCGGCGGTGGTCATTTATAGATGTTGAAAAAGCTTAAGACCATGTCGACCGGACATTTCTAGATAAATGCATCGAAAAAATGAATTTTGGTCCAAACTTCCGGAGATGGACCACAATCCTCCACCACAACGCTACCACACGGATTCAGATAAATGGGGTGTTAGCTCCAGAAATTTCCCTACACCAATCGGTCCATCAAAGGTGGTATTTGACCCAAAAATCATCGAAGGCATTTGACCGGCAGAGTGGCAATGGATCCCATCAGGTAGAACAAGGCAGGGAGCAAAAAAAATTTTGTTCGCCTTATCGGTGAAAGCCATATATCGGCTGGTTGAGCTCAAGGGTATTCTGTGGCACTGATGGATGTCCTATTTACATGTAGGAAGGGACAGCCTCCGCCCCATTCGGTGGTTTACTTCCACAAGAGCCAGGCTGGCAAAGATGGCCTCCCTGCAATGGCAGATAGAGCACCGCTGCCTTCCCACGAATGACTGGCTGCTTGATTGTACATATTTGGAACAGAAGGGTTTAGCAACGCCGTGGTGCACTTCCTGTTTGACTGCGTTTCCCGCCCGCAAATCCCCCAGACCATAGAGCATATCTTTATGCAATGTCCAGGGACGGTTCTTACTTGGCGCTGGTGGGAGAGAATTCGGAGGCTACTGAGCACAGAGTCTGCGTGGGCATGGAACTGGAGAGCGCTTCTGTGTGAAACATGGCTTTCCTCCACGAATAACACTTTTGAAGAGAACATGTTTAAGATTGGGAGGAGAGCAGTCATTTGTGCCCTCTGGAGGAAACAGTGTATACTACCTATTGGAAGTGTAAGGCTTGAGGGTGAGGAAATGACTTAACTGATAAAGCAATACATTCAGGAAGAACTAACAATACAGTGGCAGACAGTGAGAGCTAAATTGGATCTCATTCAAACGAAAAAGGATATAGTACTGGCTATCAGACAATTCTCAGAAGACTGGCTGGGGAATGAGCAAGGGGGCTGGATGGCTTTCGCTGGGAACGGGTCTGTCTCCCGGAATCTGGCGATGAGAACCTCAGAAGAGACAATACTATTCGCTTCAAGGCCTGGACCAAGGTGGATGCAGCGATTCGGTTACGACCCCCCTGGGAGTTCCCTGACCCCTTTCCGCCCCATAGTCTTCATTGGGTTTGGAGGGGGGGGGGGGCGCTGCATAGTCTGCATAGTTACTAAGTTGAAGAGGCTTAGTTGACTGTATCTGAAAGGGTGGACGGGGGCTAGGTAGTCATGCATTTCGGGTGCCCAGCAGCAAGGCTGAAGAGGCCCCTTCTCCTCTCTCTCTGGCTACTCATATTCCTGCTCAGTTAATCCCCTGTTCTCGGGGCAATGAATGCTGGCAGGCGGTCAGGAAATCTTCAGATGGACTTCAATGGCTTTTGTTAAATGATGCTGTACCCGTTTTTCAGCAGGTGTTGCTCCCCACCAATAGATGGAGCCTCCCCAGGGGAGATAGAGGCGTTTGTCTGCTCGTACCAGCCCCCCTAGCTCCCAAACGGGCAATTTTTTGCCCCGAAAAAAGAAAAAAAAAAAGAAAAAAGAAAAAAGAAAATAAGAAGAGCCGGGACTGAAGACCAATGACCCAAACCCTGAGATTAACAAGGGATTGAGAAAAATCTTGAGCCGTCATTCCCACTACCAGACGACAATTCCATACAAAACGCACCAGACAATAAAACCAACCTAAATCCGCAGCCTGCAATGGCACATCACTTATGCCGCTCAGAATTAACGACTGGCTACACAAAACCCAGAAATGCTGAGATTCAAACAGCATGCATAAATGCATAATGTGCAACACAGCCAATTCACCAGAAGATATCATACACTGTCTGCTTTCCTGCCCTGAGGCAATCTTCCTTTTGTGGGAAAATTGCATCTATACCCCACTTAAAGATGGTAATACCTGCTGTACCCAGTCCCAGCGCCAACTTGCATCTAAACCCAGAACCCGATCGACTTTGCATGGTAGTACCCAACCTTTCCCCTGTGCGAAAGTGTGGGCGTACCCACTCCAGAGCACAAAATGATGCTCCTGCTCGGAAACCAGGCTGGCAAAATTGTGGGTGTACCCACACCCAGTGGCGGGCCTTGTGTGGCACACCATGAAATTATGCTTGTGCCCACCAACTGGACCGTTGTGGCCCAACGGCTGCTGGGTATGAACGTAATTTCAGCATGCTTGCTGTGCATGCCGTGCACGAGGTCGCGGCGCAGAGCACACGCACATGCATGAGCACGCACATGATGTGGCGTTTCACAAAAAAAAAAAAAAAAAAAAAAAAAAAAAAACAGAAAGGACAGGGTGGGGTGGCCAAACATGCCCCTCGCTTCTAAAAATCAAACTGCAAGAGGGAAAAAAGATGCGGCCATGAAACCCATCGTGATGCAGAGATAGGCGTTAAACTTCCAGTTTTGCATGAGTAGGCCGAGAATATATAGTCTGGATTCAAATTCAGGTCTGTGTATCGGCCGTTACGGGTCACTAATTCTCTGTTTTTTTGTTTTCTTTTCTTAGGAATACGTGCAGTGGCCCTAAGCCGAGAATATATAGTCTGGATTCAAATTCAGGTCTGTGTATCGGCCGTTAGGGGTCACTAATTCTCTGATTTTTTGTTTTCTTTTCTTAGGAATACGCGCAGTGGCCCTAAGGGACTCTACTCACCACGTGCACAAAAGACAAAACATATGGCAGCGTATTGTTCCACGTTCTAGCAGAAGACTCATTCTAATTTTGCACATTTGGTGAGTAGTGCACCCAAGCCCTGAGAATCACCATACTCGTCACCTGCCTCGAATTTGGTGGAGGGTCTACGCTAATTCAGGGCTTGGGTGGAGCTCCTGCTCCAGTTCATACTCATCCCCTGCGGCTAATTTGGTGGAGGGTCTACGCGCAGTTTGATCTCGCCTCTCCCCTCGACCACACCAAAGACCCTCGTGCTCTTATCCATCTAGCGGCGATTCTAGCTCCAATATCTTTGCGGGGTAGCAAAAGGAACTGGTTCCTTTCACTCAGGAAACTCACTCTGTGACAATATGGAAAAGAACGTGCACTTGGGACTATCGGTGGAGACATATCGGCAAAAGAAGAAGCCTAGTCCCAGCTTACTGAGACGCTGGAGACAGAAACAGAAATTTGAACTATGGACGATCAAGCAATCTCTAGCAGGGTGGTGGAAACGCGACATGACAACAATGAAATAGGGGTGGAAGTTCCATGGGGCCCATGACACTTTTATTCTTCATTTGGCTCAATTTGGCCACCAAAAGAAATTTGTGACCGTGACAGCCCCTTAGCCTCCTCCCAGAAGTCGCACTGGGGATCGGGTGCAGAGGAACCAGATTGCGTGTAATAGTGCAGGCACTGCCCGATCTTCCGGCACCCTGCACGCGGGAGCATTACATGCATCTGGTCCATTGAAGAGGACGGGGGATAATTGGGCAATGTTAGCACTGACCAGCGACCTTTCCATGGCTAACAAAACAATGCCCGAGCACTCAAATTCTTCTGTCCATCTTCCTGGATGTTTCTTTCGACAAAATTGGAAAAAGTGTGTTCCATTCCTTTGCGATGTAGTGGGCTTGGCACAATCCCCATTTTTGCAAAGAAAATTCCCATATCTGGGCAGGGTGGGGTATATGTAATGAACCCAGTCTCATGAGAAGCCAATCAGTGTCGTGATACAAGTCTGAACCCAGCAGATACAACAATGTCTCCGAAATCGAAGAGCATCGTAACACCAGAGAAGAGAATGAGCTAGTGGGGAGAAGAGACAGAACAGGAGAAGAAGAATTCATCACTAATGCATGAAGTCTCTTCCTGCCCACTTCCTCTTTGGTCGCTACCTGACGTCCTCCGGCAGTTTCAGTGTGCAGGTCACAGCAGGGCGCCCATCCTCCAGCCTCTTCACCAGCCAATCAAGGAGAGGATGGCGCAGATCTTCCTCACCTTCGTGGAGATGAGCGGCAGATCGTACACGACGTCGCCAGGTAAGTGGAGGTAAGCATCCCCTCAAACTCTCGCCAGTCTCACAGCCTTCATCCTCCCCATCCTCGCCCAACATCAACACCAATGTCTGTAGCTATGGCGGCCAATGGCACCCTCCCAGCAGCACTGGCTCCAACATAATCTCCTCTGATGCTGGCACCCTCCCGGCAGCACTGGCACCAGCTTAAACTCCAGCAACCTCACGATGCCGTGCATCAAGCCAGTGTCTGGCCGTTCTTTTGTAGCGTTAACCAATGTAGACCGGCGTGGACTAGTCCTCCATCTGTCGGTATCGGCGCTTCAGATTTGCTCAGTTTCGACGGCCTGGATGCGGCTTCGCAGCAGCGGTACCTTTTCCCTAGTTGGGACAGGAATCTTCCGGATACCTACAGACAACCAATGATGTGCATCTGATCGACGACCATGGCTGGCCAACGGGCTGGGACTGGAATTCCGTGCTGGGTGTGACTCTTGATTTTCCAAGAGTCTAATGTCTCACGTTGGGGTACTAAACACAGCTTTTGACTCAGATAATGCTAACCCTTTACCCTGGGAACTTTCTCAGGCATTTCCGGGGCTTGGGACGTGACTTTTGACCCCTACTTCTGGCCTTTAACCAAAAGTGACGACCCTTGCTCACGTCTGGGTAGATCTGAACCGGGTTTATTACAGTACACCTCATGGCCAAATCAAGCGTCCGTTATAGGAGTGACATCATGAAACCACCACTCCCTTTTCAAGGGCCAGCCTCTGGTCTTGGGACTGTTTGTGAGGCAGAGGGAAAAATGTGGCTTCCAGATTAGCCATTGCCAGACCAACTTAAAGAAAAGACGACAGCATCACGTCAAACAACGCCTGAAAGTGGAGATGACTTGCAGCTGAAAAAGGAACAGAATTGAACTGCTAAGAACTGGAGAACCCAAAGCCATAAGACAGCAGAAGAAAATCAAAATGACGAAAAGACACCATGATGACAATGCAGCCAGACCCATGTCTGGTGGCTCGGGAAACACCACATGAATGATTCGAAGGGACCACAGCAGCAGGAGCAACAGTAATCAGAGGACACAAAGGGAGAGTATCATCAATAGCTGTTGGACAGCGGAACGGTTGGCATTCACAGCCCGAGAGCAGTAGTAGCAAAACCACTAAGAGCTGATAATCGACCAGCAGCAGAACCTGGAGAGGTCAAATAAGACAAGACAGGTGGGGAGTGTAAAGAAGATTCAGACCATCTCACAGTGAGACAACAAAAAAGGAGCGGCCAAGCAAAAGGAGCAGCAGGCACCAGACCGTTTCCAAAATCCACTGACCCTCCCAAGTTGCCGTACACTTCATCCTTTGCAAATAACATAATCCACTCAACTGAAGAAACAAACGATCACCAAATTTGTCTGTATCTCACCTGTAAAACCGAAACAAACATTCCATTCCATAGTTGTAGTTGGATGCTGCATCCTCTTCTGCGAGCTGTCTGAACTCGTTATACATCGCCCTGTTGAAGTTAGTTCGAAGAAAGTATGACCAAAACCTGAAAAGTGTATTCATTTCCTGCAAGCCAAAAACGGCCACCCAAACAAACAGCCATCCATTATGTGAGTGTGACTTGGCACATTCCCAAGAACCTGCTCCCCTGCTCTCTCTCTCTCTCTCTCTCTCTCTCTCTCTCTCTCTCTCTCTCTCTCTCTCTCTCTCTTTCTCACACACACACACACACCTGTCTCTTATACACAT